CTAATTCTTTAAGCTGTTCTAAAGTCTTTGTTAGTTTTCTGAAAGGATTGACAAACTTTTGCCTATATTGAATGGACTAAGGGTTGAGTTGAGCTTCAATTTTAAATTTACCATTCACATTGTTACAGCTTATATAGTTTTAAAGTAAAGTTACAAAATATTCCATCAAGGTTGATCACTCGTTTACTATCTTTAATATGATTTTTTATACCTAATATCTATGTTATCATTGTCCCTCAGTTTTTTGTTTGGTTATCATATTCTGTCATCAAATCAGCTTACACAAAGCGTTCTATATTTTAATCATCAGATTACTAAATTGTTGCAGAAAGACAAAAAACCTTATACAGAACAGAGCTAGTAGTCTTGGCAAAGCATGAGTAGTCAGTTGTTAATGAAATAATAACGCATTAGATAAAGTGTATAGTCATTAAACAGTTACTTTTTTGTTTTTCAGTATGAACTAAACTGAATTTAATATTACTTTGCATCACACTATTCCAATTATACTACTTTGCACTCCTAACTTTAAGACCGCGTGATAATTGCACACTTTTATCACTGCACTAAGGGTAACTGGTAAAATTTCAGGTTTGTTAATTATTTTTATTTTTCTTTCACGATTTTTCCCTCTGTCATCATTTTTTACCTATATCTAGTAAATGGCTAATATTTTATCAAAGAAATCTTCACAGCTCTTCCAGTTCTATCTTCAAACTCTGTAGGCCTTTTTCGAGCTCAATAATCTTTTCTATCCATCTTCTCATTTCTTGTCTTATTCTTATGCTTTTTCATTGTTCACACCTCTGCATCAGTATTTTTTTTTGTCTGTGCTTTTTTTTAATATGATTCTTCTTTCGGCCTTCATTTCTTTCTCAGTTCTTAATGATTTTTTTTCAAATTTTTGGTATTTCGAACCACACACGTGGCTAGTGCTTTTTCTGCTGCTTTTTTTGTAAAATAAATTTCTTTCGTATTCTCTTGAAAAAAATTGTATTAGTGGGACCGCACAATTTTATAACGAATATTTTTTGTACGAATAAAGTTATAAATTTAATCAGAATTTTTGACATTATATAAATAAATAAAGGTCATTGAACTTATTTAAAGCAATAGAAGTTAATAACATGAGAAATATCGAATGTTTACTAAATTGTCAGTTGAATTGTAATTATTTTTTAACATTAAATGGTTATATAATGTAAGTATAGTAGTTGTGTTGAAGATGTAGTACTTGAATGTTTGTTTATATTGACTTACTTAGCCGTATATGTTTAGTTTGTGATTATCTGCGTCTGAAGAAAATAAAATGTACCAAAATAACTGAAGTATATTTATATTTTTACACAGATAAAACTGTCAAGATTCTTCATTATATAGTTATAGTTAGCATTTAGTATTGTGTTACTTTTATTTATTAAAATAAATCTCCGTGAAGTGAAGAGTATTACTACTATATCAATTTTCAGATAGAAGGTTCCCTAATATTTCAAACATAGTATTTTTTGTATTCCTACAGTAAATAAGGTTCAACCTGTTTTTTAATTTCTACAATGCATAATACTTTAGTTTACGTAAATGTAGGTGGTCTATTCCTTTGTTAAATTTAATCGTTTACGTTTTTTCACTTAAAATAATGACATTTTGTTCACTGACCTTTCATTTCTATTGAACTGTATTATCTTTTAACATTAATTGATAATGAATCGTGTAATTTGTGCCTGTTATATTACGTGGAAAATTAATAAATTGTCTAATCCAAAAATTAAATTAATTAATCGTTCTTTGCACATCTAAAATTTAACTGTAACACAATATTTAATATTTTTAACAATCCAAATGGTAAACTTGGTAATTTCAATTCGCAATTCGGTAAAAAATGATCCTAATTGCATGAATAAGGAAATTGATCAACGATCATTCAAGGACAATAAGTAAACACCACTAACTTTTAATAAGGCGACGTTTTGCTGGCTTAGGTTCTGCTAGCCTCATCAGGCCAAAAAAGTTTATTGACTATTGACACACAAGACAACATTTAACAAAATATAAAGGTCTTATAGTATGAAGAAAATTAATAAATGATTGTGACAATTTAAGAATTATTACCCACAACTTGGCGTCAAAAAAAAAGTTATGAGAGCAAATTCACTCTCGTAAATTTCGAGTAATGGTCAGTCTATATCCGTGCACAGCGAGTGGCAACACCACAAAAATAACAGGTATCAGACCGCTCGGTGCCTATCGATATTTGACAAAACTCGACACTAAGGTGAATACACTTTACTAAGCCCATCAACGTCTACTTTCTTATTTAAAGTATTTCTATTTAAATTAATATAAATCATCTCTGATAACCCCTTTCTTGTAGTTAGCTTCTTTGTTACATGTAATTACAGACATCTAGTTGAAATTGTGTCTAAAATTACTTACATGCTCGGAAACAACTAAATCATTTTTATTTCCTTTAAAATGTTAATTAATACAATGTTTTCAAGCTTGTTTCGTTTGTCTAACATAACTTGCGCGACAATTGCCACAAGAGAACTTATACATGACCTCTGTTGTATTCTGCTTAGATGTTTTATTTTAATCTAATTTGATGATATTACTTAGAAGTTTATGAACAGATGAAAGAACGCGAACATTATACGACCTGAGGCTATTATTACATTTAAAAAAAATTGATTATTAATAAATGGAATAGGGATAGAGACTCTTGAGATATAATCATGGGGATATAGAGAAACTAAGTTGCGAGAAGGTTTATCAGATAAAGCAGAGATACGGCATTTAATGTGCTTATTGATGAACAAGGTCGGGTAGTCATTATCGAGGAGCGATTATCTTACACTATTAATATTTTTACTGTAAAATACGATGTGATAACAGAATAACACGGTTTACCAAATTCTATACAATATTCTTTTTTAATACAAGAGGATGATTAGAAAATGGTTCAAGTTACGGAAAAAAGACGTTTTTTTGTTAAACCAATTGGTAATAGTATGAGAATTTTGTATTATTAATGTAATATCCAGAAAATTCATGCTGTTATTGTATTAAAGTTTATGTGACAATGTTAATATCATTGTTATGGATGCATAATATCGTGTCATCAACGTAGCGATGGTAGAATAAGGGCGTAGAATTGAATTTATTTTTTAATAATAACAGGCAATTTGATTTACAATCAAGCATCACAAGATCAGCAAACATGGGTGAAATGGAAGAACCCATGAGAGAACCCAATTTAAATAGAAATAACTTAGTTTCTCTATATCCCCATGATTATGTCTCAAGAGTCTCTATCCCTATTCCATTTATTAATAATCAATTTTTTTTTAATGTAATAATAGCCTCAGGTCATATAGTGTTCGCGTTCTTTCATCTGTTCATAAACCTCTAAGTAATGTCATCAAATTAGATTAACATAAAACATCTAAGCAGAATACAACAGAGGTCATGTATAAGTTCTCTTGTGGCAATTGTCGCGCAAGTTATGTTAGACAAACGAAACAAGCTTGAAAACATTGTATTAATTAACATTTTAAAGGATATAAAAATGATTTAGTTGTTTCCGAGCATGTAAGTAATTTTAGAGACAATTTCAACTAGAACTCTGTAATTACATGTTACAAAGAAGCTAACTACAAAAAAGGGGTTATCAGAGATAATTTATATTAATTTAAATAGAAATACTTTAAATAAGAAAGTAGACGTTGATGGGCTTAGTAGAGTGTATTCACTTTCGTGGCAAGTTTTGTCTAATATCGAAAGACACCGAGCGGTCTGATACCTGTTATTTTTGTGGTGTTGCCACTCACTGAGCACGGATATAGTCTGACCATTACTCGAAGTTTCCGAGAGTGAATTTGCACTTATAACTTTTTTTGTGACGCCAAGTTGTGGGTAATAATTCTTAAATTGTCACAATTATTTGTTAATTTTCTTCATACAATAAGACCTTTATATTTTATTAAATGTTGTCTTGTGTGTCTCTAGTCAATAAACTTTTTTAGCCTGATGAGGCTGGCAGAACCTAAGCCAGCAAAACGTCGCCTTATTAAAAGTTAGTGATGTCTACATATTGTCCTTGAATGATTGTTGATCAATTTTCTTATTTTGTTTTAATATGGAGGACGATTATTAGTCAACTATTTCACTAATTGCATGAAATAGTCATTTGAAGATCGGGTTTATTTTCTAGAATAAATAATTTGCAATGGAAAAACTCGATTTCACTATATATACATATTTAAAAACTGGAACATTTAAATTATTTGTCTATAATCGTTTCATAAGCTTTTAAAATTTATAATGTAGATTTATACGTAACTGTTGTACCAAGTTATAACATTATGCGTAACCATATTCTAAGAACCTTTTTTTTATATTTACAAATTTCAGATTTATACATCTTTTGCACTTGTAATGTTTATGTAACGTTGGTAAAAATTCATCTATTAATAGTAGGAAAAAAATAATAGTTAACAGGTAATAATAGTTGTATTTTACTAACTATTTGTGTTAAAATTAATGGCATTAAAAGCTTGTATTCTGTGATACCATAAATCCTTTTATTACAAGTAGTATTTTTTTATTCAGATTCTGCTAACGTTGGGAATATGTAGAATGTGGTCGACTTGTTTTGAAAATTTATATTTTAAAATACAATTTATATATAATATAATCTAAAATGTACTATAAAGGGTAGCCTTTTTCCAAAGTATGATATCTTATTTACCTGGTTTAACTGAAGAACTAGTTTATAATATCTATTTCCACGTTAAGCTGTCTGTAGATGCTTATTTATAGTTTTCTTTTTTTTGATAATACCTATCTGTTACTTAGGGATTCGTTGCTTTGTAGTAGTAAAATCACTTAAAAAACGTCGTTTAGATTAATAACGTGATTCTTATATTGATAATTTTTTCTCACTATTTTATTGTCACTTGTCTTGGCATTGTATCACTAGTCAGAATTATTTATTATTTCAGACTCTTTTATCCTATTCAGATGACGTCACTGTGAATGCTTTGTGTAATGCTATTGCAAAGCATATTGAAGCAGCGAATAACTCACAATCAAATAATCATATTACCAAAGATGTTAAATATTTCTGGAAGATATATGAAGCATGTATTCTAGCTCTTAATATAGCTAAATCCAATGTAGTAGAGCAACAGCATTCGGGAAAGCTTCAGTTTGATATTATAAGGTTCCTTGATAGTGTTGTTTTATCAACTCTTAATAATTCTGGTTGGTACACTCAATAATAGTAAATAAAATAATGATTTTTTTAATGTCCAACATTTTTTGTTGTAGGAGCTCATCCATTACTTTTAGCAAGATGCTTGTGTATGGGTGGACTTTATGCTAAGGATCTACCTCTTGAAATGAATTCTAAATTTTTAGAAGCGACTATTAATGGTTTAAAAGAAACTCAACCATCATGTATTCGTATTAGCTCAATAAAATCAATATACTGGTTTTGTCATGCAGCTTCTATTCAAGATACAGCTTTTTTAAATATTATTCATCCACAGCTATCAACTATTTTTCAAGAACTACTTATTTTATCTAATCAACCCTCGAAAGAAATACTAACGCTTGTTGTAAATGCATTCTCTGTATTAGTCTCGGTAATTGAACATGTTTATTCATATCTATTGAAACTACACTAGGTAGTATAATACACGCTTCCGAAAAATTGATGATTATATGTATTAAAGCTGCTATGGTTATTTCTTTTAGCTTGATAAAAGTTTTACAGCTTCTATTGGAAATAAATTATGTCCTTTGATAATCGCGATATTTATCAAGCTCCACAGCGACCCGGAAATTTTCTCGACGTGTAAAGATGTTTTTAAAGAACTAAGTAAAAATCCTGATTGCGTAGGTCTCCTTCAAGTACACTTAGTTCCTACATTAATTAATATGATGACTATTACACAAGCAGACATATCTAAAGACGGTACTCTTATTTTGACTGAAGTTCGATTTTTGTCAAACTTAAAATTTTTTAAATCATTATTTAAAAATGTTAATATAAAATTTATTAGAGAAGTTAAAATTTGCAGAAGGAACAAGAGGTGTGGCGTTAGACGTTTTGGAAGTTTTGGTGCGATATTCTCCTAAGCCTTTAAGCAATCTTCTAATGAACTCAGCATTTCCAGTAGCTTGTCACTGTATCCTTAAGTCTGTTGACAACAATACACTACAAAATGGTGGAGAAGTCATTCGCACATATTTATCTGTTTCTGCTCACCAAGTTATAGAACATCAGGATAGTCAAGGTATTACTGGCTTACAGTTAATCTTACAAATCATCGCTCAATTGCTGAATCCGCAGGTAAACTCATGTTTAATTTAACCATGATTAAAAAATAATAATTCGAAAAAAAAAATAGTGCTCTCTTTGCGTAACTATTTATGTATATTCAGTCCAGTGAATTTACGGCAGTATTTATTGGAAAGCTCGTAACGACTTTAATTCAAAAAGCAGGAAGTTCTTTAGGTGAAAATATTGATTTGTTACTTAAAGCGGTACTGAGTAAAATGCAACGCACTGAAACTCCAACTGTGATGCAGAGTTTGTTGATGATATACGTCCATCTTATTAACTATGAGTTTGATGCTGTATTAAATTTTTTATCAACAGTTCCTGGTCCTTCCGGAGAAAGTGCTCTTGTCTTTGTTCTAACACAGTGGATGAATAAACAACAATTTTTTTTTGGTCATTACGATCACAAAGTAGCTACTGTAGCTCTATGCAAAATATTAGAATATGGAGTTACACATGATGATAGTAGATTGAATAATGTCACCGTTGAAGGAGATTTAATTTATTCAGGTATGTAACAACCAACATTTACATATCAATTTTAATATTATTGAATTATCATATACTGTTTGTCATAATGTATGTGTATTAAGTTACATATGAAATCACAAATATTAGAAAATTAAGTAAGCAGCTTTATGCTATACATTTTTTTTACATTTTTTTTTACAATCACTTACATAATCTTTAAGTACCAGATGCGCAAAAAAAGAAGAAATGAGTAACCGACATGAGTAACATACATCTGACAATAAAACTTGTGATAAGTAGTAAAATAAGTAATTTCAAAGAAAAATTTTTTCAGAATGTTACTTACGTTTCTTTTGAGATTTTTTTGACTAAAATCACACCTGATATTTTTAAAAAATAAAGTAACATGTAGAAACTCCAACCCATAACTTTTGAGTATTTAGATTTAATTATGTCATGTCTGGAATATAATTGATATAATTTTTATTTTAGCACACATTTTTTCAAAACACTGTACAATATGCTTGAGAATGGATATGTTGGACTATTTATCATATAAAATTATTACTCAAATACGAATTTCTTTATGTACTTTTCAAATACCCTATGCTTTTGATAAATGTGTATATGTTCATATTACCTGTATAATATTGAATTAAGATTGCGGATTTAGTGCTTTATGATTTTGTAAGTAACTGCTAAAGTATTGAAAAAAGATCTTGTAATTCATAGTCAGCGTTTTAGTTTTTATTTTTTAACGATTTAATAACTAACAGTAAATGAAGATATTGATCTTATTTTTAATGTTTTTAATAGTTACAACGTAAAATTAAAATCCACTAATAAAGTACAAACACGTAATCAAATAAACTTTTTAGAATTAAGTAGGACAACTAAAAAGCCAAGTAGGGAGTGCTAATTTTTTTATGTTTATACATGTCAACACTTCGCTGATTAAGTCGGCTTTCTCAGAATATAGCAACTTGTACCATTTTACATTGGGCAGGTGCCTCAAGCACATGCAACAATTAGATACCCAATCTTTAATTTAATATATATATATTATACAACTACTGTTTAGTACAAATATTAATGATGATAGACATGGTGACAAGAAACCAAAAGATAAAAAATTCATAATTAAGAAATAATATAAAATATAGCAAGAGTATTACTAAAGCCAAATGAGAATACGGATTAAACGATGTGACACAACGTCTATGTATATTCAAGTAAAAAATCTGCACTTGCAAATTTTCTCTTCAGTTATTATACTCAAATAAACCATATATAGTGAGAGAACGAGGATAAGTGCCATCATAAAATTTATAAAAATTTTTAGATGTCACAAAATCAACATGGTATAATGTTTTGTAGCCAATCAAATTTATGGTGCAAGAAACAATTTCTTAGACTAAATCAATTTTAAATATATAATAATAGTGTATGATAGAAACAGATGTTGGAATAAACAAATTTATTTTACAAAGTCTACCTTTAAAAAAAAAAAAAAAGGAATCAGTTGACCTATCGCCATTTCTCTCGTAAAATTAAATATATGTAACTGTACATTGATGGCATGTTCACTTTTTTTAGTAAGAGGTTCAGAAAAATCCAACTAGTGTGATAATTTGTTAACAATATATAGCAACATTATAAAGTAAGAATTAATATAGTTGAGCGTATTAATCTTGAGAAAACAAAAATTTTCTGACATCAGCATCACGCTAGCACATTTATATTTATTTAAGTGCATTTTCAGCTTATTATTAGTTTGGGTTAAAATCTATTTAGTATTATATTTTTTTTATCTTAGTTTAAGTAAATTTATAGTAAGATATATGATATTGTTCAACATCAAATTAGTATAACAAACATTAACTATAAAGAATTTATATATTCGCGCGCTAGCAATTAACTTTAGTATTTTGAAACCAATAGCGTGCGTACGATGGTTCTGCGTGACCACCAATCATAGCGCTCCACGTTTAAGTTACTTTGGCTGCTCACGACTGCTCGCCTGTGAGCATTTAGTCAGTCCGCACCGATCGCTCGTCCAGTGAACCACAGTATTATCATCGATGATCTTCTTCGAGCCGGTGGAAGGCTTAGTAACTCTCTTTTAGATGCAAATGCTAAACATCCCTTGATCCTCTATGGCTACGACTGTATCACTTAATTTTTGATTGACTATTATCATCGCAAAGCATTACATGGAGGTGTTGAGATGATTCTTGTGTCTCTTAGGCAAAAATATTGGATTTTGCGAGGTCATGAAGTAGTGCATGCCGAACTTAGTCACTGTTTCACCTGTAAAAGGTACAAGGGCCGGACTCAGACTCAATTGATGAGCGATCTTCCAAATTGTCGAGTAACTCCTCGTCCGCCCTTTCAGAAAACTGGAGTTGATTATGCCGGACCTTTTCCAATTCGGTTGTCTAAGAGTCGAGAAAAGGGTACTCTCAAGGGATACGTGGTCGTGTTTATATGTATGGCCACCAAAGCGGTACATCTGGAAGTGGCTGAGGGCTACTCGACTGAGGCATTCATTGCAGCGTTTCATCGCCTTGTGTCTCGTCGAGGGCAGTGTACGGATCTTTAAAGTGATCAGGGCACGAACTTTGTACGTGCTGACCACGAATTAAAAAGAATGTGGACAGCTCGGTGTCATTCATCTGATTTTGCCGATAGTCTGTCGTCTTCTGGTACTGAGTGGCATTTTAATCCTCCAGCTGCCCCCCACTTCGGTGGTATTTGGGAATCTGCCTTAAAATCAGCGAAGTTCCATTTGAAGCGAGTCGTTGGTGACTAGATTTTGACGTTTGTCGAGTTCTCGCTCTCACTCCTGCCCACTTATTAATCCTTAGACCGTCCTATATTTTGCCCCAACCAGATTTGACCTCCGAAAAAATATCTCCATTACACAGGTGGAAGCTTGTTACACAGACTGTCCAGGATTTTTGGAGGTGGTGGTCCTCAGAGTACCTCAGCACTCTTCAGGCACGATCTAAGTGGCTTACCCCCCAAAGATCCACACAGATAGGGGATTTAGTCCTTATTAAGAATGGTTTGACTCCACCTGGCAAGTGGGCTCTGGGTCGTATAATTGAAATTTTTAAAGATCAGAAGTCCCTAGTCAGGGTTGTAAAGGTCAAAACGTCGAGTACTGTTCTGACTAGACCGATTCATAAATTAATATTGTTAAGGACAAACTCTGAAATTACTTTACTAGTACTTTTACTTAGTTTGCTATTGTAAGTAGACAAGCGATCTACATTAACATTTTCAAATTTCGATTTATACGTTGTAATTTGTTTATTTTATTTATTTTTCTCTTTCTTTGATGTACATTCGTACTGACTGCTGTCCATCAACCTGGGTAGTATGTTCAACATCAAATTAGTATCACAAACATTAACTATACAGAATTTATATATTTGCGCGCTAGCAATTAACTTTAGTATTTTGAAACCAATAGCGTGCGTACGATGGTCCTGCGTGACCACCAATCACAGCGTTCCACGTTTAAGTTACTTTGGCTGCTCACGACTGCTCGCCTGTGAGCATTTAGTCAGTCCGCACCGATCGCTCGTCCAGTGAACCACAGTGTGGTCACTGTGTCCACCAACCAAGCAGGCATTTTCTCGAGTAAATCATTTTAAATAGAAAGAGAAAATGTCTTGTGTAATTTACTCGCGTGACTCAAACAACATCATTTTCAGTTTAATCATATTAGTAAAATAACTGTTCCTTAACTTCGTTCAATATCCTTAAACTAGCGCACATAAAACGTAATTTTGTTATTTACCACAGTTTTTCAATTTTTTTTCTCATCAAGTGTTGTAATTTCTGCTGTTAATATACTTTATCATTTTGTTATATATAAAAGGTGTGAGTGTTAATCTTTCAACAAAACCAAGCAATTTGGCTCCCACTCTTTTCCCTCGCAACCGGTAAATCAAATCATACAGTCCACAATCATTGGGTTTTCAATCCCAAACAAATATAATATATAATATGTAAGAATTAATTTTGTAGACTTTACTAATTTAGAGAAAATCAGATCTGTTGGTACTCGTCATGGGACGCGACTACTAGCTCCGAAAAATACTTGCAAAAGTAAATGAAGTGCCTAAAGTTGAAACTAAAATCTCTACCATTTTACGTGTTTAAAAGAAAACCGTGAAAATTAAGCGCCATTCGACAATGTAAAAAAGCATCACGCAGCAATAACTAGAACTAAAACCTCTTTCACGCGTCTCATGACGAATATTGACATCATGCTAGCAGACAACAGGCGTGTTTTTACTGACGGTTGAATTAAAAAAAAAATGAATTCGATATCATGTATTGTAACTAACTTTAAAGAAACTAACAGTGAAAGATTTTTTTTTATTTAAAAATTATTTAGTATGAATTTTGTAGACAGTTTTAAACACATTTATAGTAAAGAAATTAATTTTTAAAGCGTACCGATCTTGAGAAAACCAAACATGTTGTCATCACGCTAATTTATCATGTTTTTTTGATAGTTTGCGTTAAATATACAGACCAAAAAAATTTTTTGTAAAGTATTTAAATGAAAGCCACTCGATTGCCAGTCTCGAGTGTTTGTAATTATATTAAGCATTCTTTTCGATTGATTTTAAGTGGTGTACATGATTCTGTGTATTTGAAGAAAAAAAAATTTCATTAGGAGTTTTACAATTTATAATCTACTGATTCAAGGAATTTAAATTCTTACAATCGTACTAGTGAGTGCGTGGACATATCTGGCAGTCTTGAGGAAAAAAATTCTAAGAAGTATTTTTTAGCTAATTTATGCTAAACTTATCAAGAGAATTTTGATTTTGCAGAGCCCTAAGGAATCGAAAAATGAGCTCAATAATTGACGTATACTCAAAATCTCTTGATAAAAATAAATGTCACAATAATATGTTCATGAGCATTTAACTTAGTTGTAAAATACAAGAAGACTAGGTAAAAGAGAGTCAGACTTCAGGTCATTTTACCAAAATCGGTATATTTAATATCCTAGT